TAGTGCCCATTTTTTAAAAAGGAAAGAAGGAGGATCCGGGGAACTACAGGCCAGTCAGCCTCACCTCAGCTTCACTTCATGAAAAAATCATGGAGCAGGTCCTCAAGGAATCAATTCTGATGCACTTAGAGAAGAGGAAAGTGATCAGGAACAGTCAGCATGGATTCACCAAGGTCAAGTCATGCCTGATTAACCTAATTGCCTTCTATGAGGAGATAACTGGGTCTGTGGATGAGGGGAGAGCAGTGGACGTGTTATTCCTTGACTTTAGCAAAGTTTTTGATATGGTCTCCCGCAGTATTCTTGCCGGCAAGTTAAAGAAGTATGGGCTGGATGAATGGACTATAAGATAGATAGAAAGCTATCTAGATCATCGGGCTCAATGGCTAGTGATCAACGGCTCCATGTCTAGTTGGCAGCCGGTATCAAACGGAGTGCCCCAAGGGTCGGTCCTGGGGCCGGTTTTGGGCCCACCCAAACTCCCTCCCAGAGCCTGCATCCTGCACGCCTCCTGCACCCTAATCCCCAGCCCAGGGCCTGCACCCCAGACCTCCTCCCCACACCTGAACTCCCTCCCAGAGCCTTAGGCAGGTGGGGGGGGGCGGAGTTTTTTGGGGAGCCGGGTTCTGGGCACCACCAAAATTTCTACAAACCTGCCCCCCCTGCCCCTACCCCCCATCATCACGAACAACCCTGTTGCACAATCCCACTCATAAATCTCTCCAGCTCTCTCTGAAAATGAATTAACTCACGGCTTCATTTCAATTTTTTCTGAAACAATTATATTGAAATTGACACATTCCTGCAGAAAATTTCACCAAGCTGCATTTTCTGACAGAAAACGTTCAATGGGGAAATTCCCTAGTAGCTCTCGTCTTAGATCCGTATTTAGGCACTTAGGGCGGAATGTTCAACAGTGTCTAAGTGATTAAGGAGCACCAGTCCCCCCAGCTTAAGTATCCCACCCCTACATGCATAACTTCAGACATCCAGGGTTGAAAACTTTGCCCTGATATTTTGATCCTTACTCACCGCACAGAAGCACCAGCCAGGCACAGAGCAGCAGCGTCCCCTTCATTGCCATTGCTGGAAAACAAGGGGAAATGTGTCAGATTAATGCAGAAAGAAGGCAGGGCCATCAGCCTCTGAGGACACTGGGGGGGATCAGCTGCCAAATTTCCCCCCCTCCTTCACCTGAGAAATGGGGACAGAATGGCCTACCTGGGAGGCAGGTAAATATTTTCTCTATGAGGAAAGTGAGGCACAGAGAGTTGAAGTGACATGAACAAAGTTGCAGAGTTAGTGACACAGCTGGGGATAGAACCGAGGACTCCTGACTCCCTGCCCCCTCTTGCTCTCACCACTAGACCCCACTCCCCTCCCAGAGCTGGGGCTAGACCCCAGAAATCCTCACTCCCAATCCCCCTCCCCTGGCCTACTCTCACTACTCACGACCTCACTCCCCTCCCAAAGCTGGGGATAGAACCCAGGACTCCTGACTCCCTGCCCCCTCCTGCTCTCACCACTAGACCCCACTCCCCTCCCAGAGCTGGGGCTAGACCCCAGAAATCCTCACTCCCAATCCCCCTCCCCTGGCCTATTCTCACTACCAGACCTCACTCCCCTCCCAAAGCTGGGGATAGAACCCAAGAGTCCTCACTCCTAGCCATTCCTGCTCTAAACCCCACACCCCTTCTGAATAAATATAAGAGAAGAATTGGAAACAAAGAAACATTAGATGTATTGCGTCCAAAATCCAGCTCTCACACAAAGCAGAGGACCACATATGGCAGGTAACGATCCATTTATCTATCTGAGAGAAACAAGTTGGGTGAGGTAATATCTTTTATTAGAACAACTTCTGTGGGTGAAAGAGTCAAGCTTCCCAGCTACACTGGCCTGAAGAAGGGCTCTGTGTAGGGCTTGTCCCTTCCGCCAACAGAGGTTGGTCCAATAAAAGACCCACCTTGTCTCTCTAATATCCTGGGACCAACATGCCTACAACAACCCTGTAAACAATATCTATCTATCTATCTATCTATCTATCTATCTATCTATCTATCTATCTATCTATCTATCTCCATACAAATTGTCTATCTATCCATCCCTGTTTGCACCCCTCTGTCTAACTAGCTAGCTATCCCACCCCATCTATCTAGCTATGGCATTTTTATCGTTCCTATCGCTCTGTGATCTAAGCAGTTTTCCCTCAATAGGGAAAGGACAAGATTGTGCTCACCTGCCCCATGCACCTAGCTCAGGCTAGCCCAGTGCCTGAGCACACAGGTGCTATATAGCAGGGAACGCCTTGGAGAAGCAGCCAATGTTCCACAGTGACACCCCTGGGTGGGGTGGGGGCAAGCAGTAAATGCCAGCTTTAATCCCAGCTGCCTGAATGAGAAACTTGTTCACACATTATACAAGCCTATAATGCTGATCTATATTTACTTATCTATCCCCATACACACCCATCTCTTTGTACTGGAAAGAATAACAGCTACCCCGCTGTGTGCCATAGGCTCTTCACTGCTACATCTAATGGTGATTCTCCAACATGAGTTAAGGCATTAGGAACGTGAACAAAGGAAGTAAATAGTGCAGCCTTCCGAAGACCTCAAGGAGGCACCTGCATCCTTGGCTATGTTGTTCAAACCTGTTGAATGCATGTGATGTTGTGCTACAAATTCCAGCCATTTGATCATGTTAGACCTTTCTCTGCTAGACTGAAGAGGCCATTACTAAATATTTGCTTCCCTTGTAGATACTCATAGACTGTAATCAAGTCACCCCTTAACCCTGTCTTTGTTAAGCTAAATAGAGTGATCTCCTTGGGTCCGTCACTATAAGGCAAGGTTTCTAATCCTTTAACCGTTCTCATGACTCTTCTCTGAACTCTCACCAATCAACATCCTTCTGGAATTGTGGGCACCAGACCTGGACACAGGCGTGCAGCAGCAGTCGCACCAGTGCCAAATACAGAGGTAAAATAACCTCTCTACTCCTACTCGAGATTGCCCTGTTTTTGCATCGCAGGATCACAATAAGTGATTTATTTTGTAATTCTTATTTCCTGTGACCTAAACCAAGAGGAAGATGTGCTGAGTGAGAACTAGATCTATTGCTCTATCTCCAATTACCTCATTTATCTAGCTATAGAATCATAGAAGATTAGGGTTAGAAGAGACCTCAGGAGGTCATCTAGTCCAACCCCCTGCTCAAAGCAGGACCAACACCAACTAAATCACCCCAGCCAGGGCATTGTCAAGCCAGGCCTTAAAAGCCTCTAAGGATGGAGATTCCACCACCTCCCTAGGTAACCCATTCCAATGCTTTACCACCCTCCTAGTGAAATAGTGTTTCCTAATATTCAACCTAGACCTCCCTCACTGCAACTTGAGACCTTTGCTTCTTGTTCTGTCATTTGCCACCACTGAGAACAGCCGAGCTCATCCTCTTTGGAACCCCCCTTCAGGTAGTTGAAAGCAGCTATCAAATCTCACCTCTCTTCTCTTCTTCAAACTAAACAATCCCAGTTCCATCAACCTCTCCTCATAAGTCATGTGCTCCAGCCCCGTAATCATTTTCGTTGCCCTCCGTTGGACTCTCTCCAATTTGTCCACATCCTTTCTGTAGTGGGGGGCCCAAAACTGGATGCAATACTCCAGATGTGGCCTATCTATCTAATCTATCTATCTATCTACCTATCTACCTACCTATTTATTGTGCCAATTTCTGTAGTGCTTGACAAAGGGTTTATTCTGCATAATTATTCAATTTTCCTGTTAATGGAGACAGGTTTCAGAGTGGTAGCCGTGTTAGTCTGTATCAGCAAAAAGAATGAGGAATACTTATGGCACCTTAGAGACTAACAAATTTATCTGGGCACAAGCTTTCATGGGCTAGAAGTGCGTTTTAGCCCACGAAAGCGTATGCCCAAATAAATTTGTTAGTCTCTAAAGTGCCACAAGTTCTTCTCGTTCTTTTCCTGTTAATGGAGTTACTCCTGATTTGCACCGGGGTGAGCGAGAGGGGACTCATCCCCAGGGACCCCAGTGGAGTTACTCCTGATTTGCACCCAGGCCTGATCAGAACCAAACCCATTTTCTAACTTTTTATAAGGGTTATATGGCATTTCTTTTCAAATCAGAACCAGAGTATCTCTGTGTACTGATGCTGTGTCTACAGAGCCTGTGAGCCAACCCAGCCCCCGCAGCAGTAAAAGCCCGCATATGCCAAGCAGCCGATTGCTAACTGGGGCCATAAACAAAGTGGGGTGTGGCCAGCTCTTCACATGCAAAGGCTGTAGGTGATGGAGCATCTCACCGGGAAAGCCCTTCCAGTAGCTTTCTGCCTGCTAGCTGAGCAAACAAGAGGGGAATGTTAACAAAGCAGCTGGGCTGGGGTTACAAGGTAACAGGGGAATGTGTCAGCTGAGAGCTTGTGCTAGCAATGACTCATGTGCACTGCTGGGGCAGAGGTGTCAGCACTGGCTCCGAGGGGAACATGACCCCTACGGAGCTCCCTGCCTTGTTCCCCGCAGCACAGAATCCCCTAGTCCCAAACTGGGGCATTAGAATCAGCACAGATTAGAAGGGGAATGTGCTCCCTTCTAAGCCACCATCTCACTTCCTACAGCACAGCACCCCTTGGTGCCACGCTGGGGCATGGGGTGAACACCTGCTCTGTCAGGAGAACATCCCTCCCATGATCCCTGCAGCTCAGTGCACCCTCAAGCCAGGCTGTGATCAGTCAGATAGAAGACAATCAGTGTCCATTCCAGCACGTCTTACCCCAGCTGATTGCTCGTGGAGGTTTATGATCCATTCCACTAACCAGTGTGGTGCTGGCAGACCAGGTACCCGCTCATGCCAAGGTCCCCATGCCTCACTTGACCACTCAGAGCAAGTCCACACTTAAAACACTGCTCTGATGCAGCTGCACCGCTGTAGCACTTTAATGAAAATGAACGCATAGAGCTCTCCCGTTGACGCAGTTAGTCCACCTCCCCGAGAAGCGGTAGCTATGTTGGTGGGAGAAGCTCTCTCGCCGACATAGCACTGTCTACACAGGGGGAGGGGGTTAGATCACTATAACTATGGCCCGGCAGCTTACATCGACCTAACCATGTAAGTGTCTACACCAAAATTTCACTCCAGCCGATGTAACTCACCCACTATGCCAACCTAGTAACTCCAACTCCATGAGAGGCATTGAGTTCAGCTTGACATAGTTAGGTCAATCCAGTGTCAGTGTAGACACTGTGTTACTTATATTGACTTTAGTGGCCTCCAGGAGATGTCCCTCAATGCCCCACCTTGACCACTCTGGTCACAGTTTTGAACTCTGCTGCCCAGCGACCAGGCACACAGGTACATGCCCCTCCCCTTTAAAGCCCTGAGAATTTTTGAGATTCATTTCCTGGTTGCCCAGCTTGGAGAGCAACTCGTGAACATACTTAGCAAGTGCCCAGCTAACCCTGCCAGCTCCATGCTGCAGACGTGCTCCTGCCTGGCCTACTTAGGAGGTGTTGAATCTCCGGGGTCTGTGGGGAGAGGAGGCTGTGTAGCCACAGCTCTGATCCAGCTGTAGAACCCTTGAAATCTAGGAGCAGATTGTTCAGGGCATGGAGGAGAAGGGTTCCAACAGGGACCAGCAGCAGTGCCACGTGAAAGCCAAGGAGCTGTGGCCGATGTACCAGAAGGCAAGGGAGGCTAAGAATCACTCTGGTGTGGAGCCTCAGACCTGCCACTTTTACAAAGAGCTGCATGCCATCCTCGGCAGAGGCCTACCACCACCCTCAAGACCCCCGGAGATACTTCGGGGGAGCATGAGTCACAGGCCCCTGCTGTGAACAGTGAGGGGAAGGAGAAGGAGGAAGTGGAATAGAAGGAAGAGTTTGGGGGACAGGCAAGCGGGGTATCCAGCAGTGCAGGAAGGCCAGGACCTGTTTTTGACTCCTGTGCAGTCCAGCCAGTCCCTACAGACCTGCACAGGCGAGCCTGATGTCGGGGGAGGAACCCCTCTGGTAAGTATGCAGTTTGTTTTGAAAATGCAGGGATGGAAACCCCAAAATAGTAGGACACATC